AGGGTAAGCCAGCGCTGCCTGAGGCCAATCGCACCAGGATGATCCCTCATCAGCCGGTACCCATTCGGCAACTGAAGCTGCCCGATGCCAATTGTATCTAATAAAGGATCCCCCAGCCGGTACCCCTCGGACGCCCTGATTCAACCCTCTCTCCGTCCTCACAAAGAGTCATCTCGTGCCCTTTACCCTCCACCTTGAACAGATCCCCCAAAACCCAACAGAACCTCCACTCACTTGTCCCCCTTTCGCCTCCCCAACTCCATCCTAGCAAAGAGTTCAAAGGACCATGTCCTCAGCAAGGGCCAGACACAATCCTCATCCTGCAATCTCCTGCCCCCTCGGAAATTCCAGTCTCCGTCATCGAGGGAGTGAGCCAACACTGCCTGAGGCCAATCGCGCCAGAGTAAACCCTCATCAGTCGGTACCCATCCAACAACCAAAGCTGCCCGACGCCAATCGCATCCAATGAAAATTCCCCTCGCCGGTTCCCCTCAGACAGCCCCGATGCAACCCTCTCTCCGTCCTCGCAAAGAGTCATCTCGTGCCCTTGCCCTCCATCTTGGACAGATCCCCCAAAACTCAACAGAACCGCCCCATACGAATTTACAAAATTTGAAACGAATTTTAGCCAATTATTTGGGACCACATGCAAATTACCCTCAGATGCCCTAAGTAGGACTTTTTACCAATACTATGAAATTCTCAGTTGATTTATTCGACAAAAAATGAAATCACTAATCCAGAAGTCCATTGAGATACAAAGGAGAAGCAGCTGATTTTGAAATCCGTAGGAAACACAAATAGGAAAAAGAATCTGATGTCCGCCCGAACTTTTAACTCTGATTTCCAGAACCAGGGTTCAGGCCATAGAAAACACAAATAGGAAAAAGAATCTGATGTCCACCTGAACTTTGACTTTGATTTCCAGAACCAGGGTTTAGGAAATCGCTAAGACCGTAAGTCAAAAATTTACTAATCAGAAAAACTTATCGTATGAGCATCTAGGACTATGACATAGAAAGGGTACACGGATAGCCCAATTATTGGATTATCATCATTATTGAAAATAACAGCTCTGTAAAAGATAGGAACTATGTAGCAAAAAAACACAGAAAATTGCTTCGAGATTATCATCATTATTGAAAATAACAACTCTGTAAAAGATAGGAACTATGTAGCAAAAAAACACAGAAAATTGCTTCGAGCAAGGAAATGGTCAACAAAAACCTGTTGATCATCTCAGAAAGAGCAAGATCATGTCAGATGATCAACCTAAAAGGACAAATCGAGAATCATGCAAGAAATCTCTGGTTATTATTAGTAGGAGATTAGTGGGAGATCACTTCAAAATCAACAAATCCTATCCCTTCTTCCTCAAACCACCACTTACTTCTACTTACCTCTCACCCTTCAAACCTTACCCCTGCACCTTTGGGGGAGGAAGAATTCCCTTCCTCCCACTGCTAGCTTCTAGGCTCGAAGCAAACACCAGCACCAAAGGCATAAGCGACCGTCTTCGATTCCCGCAAAAATCGAAAACAGTGTGGCACCCCCTCGCCAAACCCGCTGACGAGTCGCCACAGGGGGTTCAACACCACCATAGCTGTATGCTCACCGTACCCTTACCTACGGTTGAGGAAGAGGGAAGGGTATCACCCACCACGTCATCTCTAGGTAGCATTGCACACGACAACACCCGAAATAGTAACCCATCCAATCGAGCTTTGCTATGCCACTACTCCCACGTCATTATTTCATCGCCAGCATTCATTCCCGTGCACAGCGATGCCGCGGTTCACCCCTCAGTCCACCAAGCAAAACCCCTCCGCCACGTGGACGACCAAACCCCATCTGTAATCCGTCGAACAGCGATGCCATAATCCCTCCCACGACGCTCCCTCCGATCAGCTGTGCTCCATAGCACCCCGCGCATCGACTTCGTTATTAGGCACCACGCTCCAATCGGTAGCCCAAGGCTAAAACAACGCGCGTCAATTGCCATGGCCATCACCATAAACCTCTGCAGGAGTCGCTCCCCTAATCCAGCTGTCGTCTCGCCATATCCCGTCGCTGTTCAACTCCTTTCCAACATCGCCGACCGCAGTCGCCATACCCACCCGCTGCCGCTACCCACCAACCTCTCAAGCACCGTGCCGTTCTCAAGCACCGTGCCGTGTGAACGCGCCTGATCGAACCGGGCGCAGCGCTCCCGGTAGCGCTGCGCCCTCGATTCCCCCGCTGACGCACCACTCATTTTAATTCTCTTTTTATTTTTTCTTATTTTTATCATAGTGTTTATTTTCTGTATTGGATTTTTAATTCAAATTTGGTAAAGAATTTGGATGTAGTGCCCAGGCACATGTTGTTTAGTTTATGTTTCTCCATATCATTGTTTTTTTTTCGGAATTTTTTGAAAACTTTTTGTTTTTTTTTGGTCCGCGTTCGGCCCGAACGGCCGAACGCCTCCCGAAGGGGTCCCGTACGTTCGGGCGTTCGGGTTCGGGCGTTCGGCCCGTCCCGAACGCCGGTAACCTTACAGCCAAGTATATTACAAGCATAGCCAACCATAGCTAACCACAGCCAAGCAAATGCCAAGCACATCCAGGGAATAGCCAGGGAATAGCCAGGGAATAGCCAGGTAATAGCCAGGGAATAGCCAAGGAATAGCCAGGGAATAGCCCAGGGGATAGCCAGGAAGCTGTGAACAGCAAGGAATATCCAAGAATAGCCAACAATGTCCAAGAATAGCAAAGCATGGGGGCAGGAATAGTCAAAAGCCTATTGAAGGCGAAGATAACATTGAACAGCCCCCACATATAGCGCAACCTGCCATTATCCATCAGTCCAGAATAGCCAAACATAGTGCAGCATGGCCGAAAATAGCCAAACAAATCCAAGGAAGTGTTAAACCACCAGCACCCCGCCCAGCCATGCCATTTTTCTCCGATGCGGCCGTTAACGCGCTGCACCGCGAAGGAGGGGGGTCGGGTTACTGGATCAAAATGGCTGCCCGCACCAGCCTAAAGAAGGCCCGTGTCGTTTCTTTTTTTTTTCCGTCCCTTTTTTTTTTTTTGCGCAGGGCATTTCCAGGGTGGGAAAAATGTTGGCCAAAGGTGTCGGTGGTGGTGTTTTTTCCTTTTTCGGTTTTTTTTTTTTTTTTTTTTTTTTTTTTTTTTTCGCAGAACACAATTATTATATTCCCAAAACAAAGACCCTTGAGGCCGGAGACCTCACAATTCAACCCGGAGATAGACCGGCAGCGTCAGCCGGTTTAGCTTTGAGTAACAGCTGGAATCTACAAAACAATACCAAACAGAACAATGTGTTCTCTACTTACCATATAACAATAATTTCTACCATTCTTCCTGGGAACTATCTCTTCATCCGTCTAAACTATCTCTTCAAAGTACCCAATAATAGTACCAATTATCCTACCAGTCGGCTAATATTCATCTAATCAATCCCTAACTACTACTGACCTAGTTTGGTCAGATAACAACCTATAACGGTTGGTGGAATGTACTGTTCCGAGTGACCCGGGCGGCGGGCACTCTCCTTCCAACCACCCTTAAATGGTCTACCGCGACCTCTACCACAACCGAGTGCCCTGGTTGCAACGGCAAAAAAAAGAAGCCTCCCTAAGCCTCAAAGCCGCACAAACCAAAAAAAGGGGGACCTTGGCCTCAAGAACCACCAAAGTCCTCTGCTCCTACTACCTACCCATCTTCCCCCTTACCTATTCTACCCCAAAACACTAACTCATGTGTTCTGCCCTAACCATTCTGAAATCTGCAGACTGCCCTGAGAAGAAATCTTCGCCAATTTCCCCTGAATGGTCCACGTCTTGAGGAACCAGTCAGTGTTTCGCTGTCCGTTTGTCCGGCTCACCTTCCTGAGCCAGTCTGCTTTGATCTGAGATCTCACCAGATTCTTGAACATCCTCTCCGCCTGCTTCTCCTTCATTGGTTCGCCCCTGAACCGCCTGGCATTCCTGTCCAACCAGATCACCCACAACATGCAGCCCCTGATTACCTGTGCGACGTAGTCCCACCCCTGTTTACCTTGACCTGGGCTGGGTAGAGTTCCAAGCAAAACCTATCTTTTCCCAGTCAGATCCGTTCTCCCTGAGAAGCTAACCAACCACTTCGCCCACCACTTCAAGTTCCACTACTTATTGGAGGTGGGACATTCCCACCAGGTGAGAGGTAGTCTCCGGCTGAATGCGGCATCTGTCGCAGTGCAACAGTACCTCCATTCCTCTCTCCGCAAGCCAAAGGTATCGCCAGGTGAGATTGCAACCACAACAGAGACGCTATCTTCTGGGACGGAAGTTTGGCCAAGCATGGCCCGAAATAAGTTCAAATAACCGCTATCTGCCAGGACGAGGGACCCGTTTTGCAGCTTTTTGAAATAAAAAGTAGTTTTTTTTTTTTTTTTTTTTTTTTTTTTTTTTTTTTAAACTGAAAAAGGGCTTGCTAAAGCATAGTCAAGCACAGCCAGTTATAGCAGCAACCACACAATACCCTTTAATTTTATTTATTTATTTAATAATAATTAAAAAAAGGGCTTAGAGTTACAAGTTACCAAATGTGACATAATAGCCCGGCCAACATCAACTAGTCCACCATCATAGCCAAAAGCACAATACCCTAGCCCATCCTAGTGAACCAAGAGCCTATTACGGCCAGGTTCATGCTTTCTAAACATGAACACAGACCAAGAAAGCTGGTTTGTGCAGACAGGTGTGACTGGACAACAGGAGACATGGGAGCAACAAGGGGTTCGGTGAACGTAGTCAGAGTTTGAACTCTGCGTAAAAGTAGAGCGAACGGTGTGCACAGGCAGCGAAAAGGGAGAGGGAGGAGGAGGAATAGATGACGGAGGGAGGGGGGGGGAGTGCGAGAGAGGGAGGGAGAGGGAGGGAGAGGGAGGGAGAGGGAGGGGACAGGGAGGGGATAGGGAGGAGGTTGGCAAGCTGGCAGGATTTCGCAGCACAGGACCTGCTCCTTCAGTTCTGCAGAGATTCCCAGTGCCTCTGGCTGATACAACTTTCCTGACTTGACGCGAACAGCACAGGCTGTACAGCAACCTGCATCAGACCATAAATTGGACCAGATTCATCAGACTCAGTACCGGAAATTGGACCGGATTCATCAGACTCAATCCACTTGCCCTTTTTTTTCTTTCTAACTGTAGCCCCTCCTCAATAAATCTTCTTCACCAAATGACACGGATAACATTCATTGGCGTACTAGCGCGCGGACATTCTCGAGCCGCATGACAAGAAAACCACAGCTTTCAACCACCGGTACATCCGAAAAAGAAGATTGAGCCTCTGCTAAAAGTTCGGACGCCATGGGCCATCGATAAAATGAATCGGCGGTTCATGGCCTTCTAATTTTTATTTTTATTTTAAATTTCGACCATTTCTCGATTTATGCCTGTCGTCCTTGCGCTGGGGCCACTCGCTAATCTTCTCTTTCTCTGTATGGCCTTGTAGGCTTGTACATTTTAGGAGAGGCTCAATCTGCTTTTTCCGATGCACTGGCGCTTTCCGTGAGCTATACCTGTGCTTGGGTGTGACTATTCTTTGACTATACCTGTGCTTGGGTGTGACTATTCTTTGACTATACCTGTGCTTGGGTGTGACTATTCTNTTGGACTATACCTGTGCGTGCTTGGGTGTGACTATTCTTTGACTATACCTGTGCTTGGGTGTGACTATTCTTTGACTATACCTGTGCTTGGGTGTAAAGCATTCATTTGGCGTGCTAACTCACACACAGAATGGACAAAAATAGTAACACCGAAGCACAGGTATAGTCAAAGGTATAGCTCACCTAAACTAAACATGATGAACAAAGCTGTTCTGGCGATGAGACCCTACGCGACGTTCAACCTGTCCCCAGTCCGGCATCATCTCAGGGGTGGCAGTAGTACCTGGCAAAGGGAAATGCTCAATAGCAAGCAATTTACCTTTAGACTCTTCTGCTATTGAAACCGGGACCGGGACCGGGCCTTTTGGGCTCTTTTGGACCTTTTGGCCCCGCTCGTGAAAGCGGGGAAAAAGCTGACTGAACCCGAACGGCCCAAAAAGGAGCGGTCCCGAGGGGGAACAAGAGAATTCAAGGAGTGCCAAAAGTGCCAAAAGGGCCAAAAGGGCCAAAAGGGACGAAAGGGGTGGTCCCTAAATGGGCAACCAAAAAATCCAAGAAGAAAAAAACAGTAAAGGCTGACCCTTCTTTAGATCCTTTAACAGCCATTTCGTCAAAACGGACATATTCTATTTTTTGAACGAAATTAAAATTGAGTTTTTGGGCCGAAATCTGGTCCAAATTTTTGGCTCCTGGGGGTCTGGCGTTCCCAGAACGCCGGACCCCCTAGATGTATCTAGTCTCAAGCTGCGACCAGATACATCTAAGGGGGTCCGGCGTTCTGGGAACGCCAGACCCCCAGGAGCCAAAAATTTGGACCAGATTTCGGCCCAAAAACTCAATTTTCATTTTGTTCAAAAAATAGAATGTCCGTTTTGACGAAATGGTTGTTCCTTATAAAACTGAGTGGATAGAAACAAAGCCAGAAACATCGAATCAAAGCCAAGTGAAGGCTGAAACAACTGAATCAAACTGGAACTCTGGTGGTCCCAGGGCTTATTATTAGCTCAGTGCGCACACGATCTTGGGATCGTAATGGGCATACTCATGCCAGGATGATGTCAACTGAGTCTGGTCGTAAGTGCAGTTGCACACATGGCAGAAAATACTAGTTTGAGCATGCCGCCGGCCTTGTGATAGAAAGGGCATACTCACATCAGGACGACTTCTGCTGAACCTAGTTGTAATTACAGTCAGATGCATGGCAGCGAAATCCAGTTTGAGCATACAGCCTTATGATAGAAAGGTTCATACTCACACCAGGACGACTTCTGCTGAATCTGGATGTAATTACAGTCAGATGCATGGCAGTCAATCTGGTTTGAGCATGCCCTGGGAGTAGGACGAAATCGGAAGAAAAGTAGAGAGAGAGAGAGAGAGAGAGAGAGAGAGAGAGAGAGAGAGAGAGAGAGAGAGAAGGGAAGGGGAGGGAGGAAACTCACCTGCGGCCTGGTCTTTTCAGGGTGTGTCTGACCGCAATTGTGACCAGTTCTGTCAAAATATATCCTGTGAGTATGGCCTGAGAAAGAAGACTGAAAACATTTTGCACAGGTACCAACAAAGAAACTGAGAGAAGCCATCCCTACCCTAGTACGCGGGGACTGGGATGATGGATCCACCTATGGTGGATCGGATATCATGCTGACGTCAACAGGTTGCATTGCCGGGTTGCGACGATGGTATGGGAGAGGAGAACCGCTGAAAGCATATCAGTGAGAAGTTGGGAACCCCCCCCCTCTTAATTTAATTTATTTATTTTTAATTATTTATTTATTTATCTTAAATTATTTATTTATTTATCTTAAATTATTTATTTATTTATCTTAAATTATTTATTTATGTATTTATTTAAAATTATTTATTTATTTATTTATTTATTTATTTATTTATTATTTACTTATATCTATTTATTTATTTATTTATTATTTTTATTTATTTATTTATTGTTTGTTTGTTTGTTTGTTTGTTTGTTTAAGTGTGATGCTTTATATTGCTTCAGAAATGGAAGACGAGGCTGGGGACCCCTCGCAATTCAACCGGCCCGGGGAAGAAATTACTGGGGCCATTCCCCCAGCTTCGGCTGATTGCGGGAAACGGGGTCCAGCATCCCCATAGCCATCTCTACTCTATCAAAGAAAGTACTTTCCAAAAAGGAAGTGAAGCAGCAGAGCTAAAAGCCTATCTCTCTCAAGGGCAGTGTAATCAGCAGCACCTTTTTTTTTTCTTTTTTTTTTTTTTTGAATCAACAACACTTTTAACCTATCGCTGAAACACAATAAAAAATCACACAGATTTGTAGAACAAGGAAACAATCTAGCTTATGCAGACAGCCAGATACAGAAATCCGCCGCCGCCATTTCCACAAGGCCAGCCAATTCCACCTGTTTGAGGTTGAACCCAAGCACAGACACACAATCCTACAACATCTATAATATCCCCACCAACAATAATCCCCTTCACCCCAATCAGGGATACCCTCATGCCTTGTCTTTCCAAACCCCCCGCGAAAAGCCTGAGCTGCCTAGGAGGGTTTCCCACCACGCCCCCTTGGATCTTCGTGGAGTTGCGATCACAATGGGTACAACTCAAGTTTGCTCGTCGCCGCCTCCCCAGTACCACCTACCCCGTACCGTTCCCACCGCCCCTGGTTACACTCTCACTGTTCAAGCTGGGACTGCTGCAAGTGGTACCATCGGTTGCACCCTGAAAGTACAATTTTTTTTTTTTTTTTTTTTTTTTAACTTTAAGAAAGGAAAATCTTTTCTCATTGACGGATCTGCCCTCTTTTTTTTTTCTTTTTTTTTTACGCATCTCCAATCGGATCTGCCCTCCCACCAAAAAATGGGTAGACTATCTTTGAGACTTTGAACATGTTGCCACAAGAAAAAAAAAAAACTTGAGGCTCTGTCCGCAGTCATTGAAATAGAAGTTGATTCAGAACTGAAAATTTCCAATTTCATTCAAATAAATAAATAATAAAATAAAATAAAAAAACATCAAATAGTGTCAAATACCCCAAAAAGGGGGGGTTGTCATTTGATATGGTAACATCACTCAATATGGTCCCACCTACCGCTGTTGAGTTCAGAAAACTCAACGGTGTGACGCCATATCGACATTAATAAATTAGAAGCAAAAATTTTAAAAACTGAACTTGAGAGTTGGGGTTCAATGGTTTCGTCAACATTGGGCTTCTTGCCCTTCCCTTGTCACCATTGATGCTTGCTCAGGCGACTTTAGTTTTGGCCCTTTTTTGCAGTCTTAGAAATAGTGTCCATTGATGCCAGGTTCTGGAATTGATTAGTATGTATTTTTTAGCTGTGTCTTTGGATTAATACAGGGGAGGGGCTCCACCTCACAGAGTAGGATTGGAGACCTTGCTGCCCCTGAATATGGCTCCTTGCTGATTTGTTTTCTCCTGCCTTGGGCACTGGGCCCTTAATTAAAACAAGAAAGAGTTTTATTAAAAAAAAACACGCTAGAAACAGCTTTTCTCCTTATTTTTGATAACGTAACTCAGAGAAATGAAACATGTCTGGAACAGTTGGAGTGAATGTCTCCGTGTCCGGAAAAAAAAAAAAAAAAAAAAAAAAAAAAAAGAAAGTCTCCGTGAAAAAGGGATACCCCCCCCGTGGTGAGGGGACGGGAGGTCACCATTTGTAAAATGGACAGGGACAACGTGGATGGCCAAATGCATTCATTGCCCAACGAAGGAAACGAGTTTGATGCCAGAGAGCCAAACACAGCTGTCAGAGTTCCTCCGTTTCAGGATGCAATGATGTCTGGTAGGGTAGTTTTCTCAACTTAAAATGGTTTCCCGCCCGAACCGAAAGGCCCGAAGCATACGACAAAACGGATTTCACGTCAAATAAAAAATCTACAAAATGACCAAATCTAAGAGGTTATTCTCCTGTATTTTGGTACCATTAGATTCGCAATACATCAACGGCAGAGCTCCGTCCCACCATGCCACACGTGATAGAAAGCTCAGCGTTGAGAAAACTCAACGCTGTAGGTGGGACTTCACCCCTGGAGAAAGGGAAGTTTTTAGCAAAGAAACAAATTAAAATTTCAAAAATAACAAATCGAAAAAAGTGGAAAAAAAAACCAACAACGAAGAACTCACCCATTCGGCATGCAAATGGCAGTTTTATGGCTTGATCCTCCGCCGTGTGCAGGATGTATTGGTCCTGAAGGAATCCGGAAAAAAAAAGGAAAAAGGAAATATGAGACGGCAGCAATCAGTCAAAAGTCCAAGAAAAACAAAAGAAAAAGGTTCAAGAAAAAAGTATATTGGTCCTCAAGAGAAAATTAAGAAGGAAAACGAAAGGGTTAATTTTAAAAATATCTAGGCTACTAACAGCCGGGCCGCCCCGGGCGGCCTGGCCGTGGAAGGACCAAAGTAGGTCCCAGCAAAAAAAAAAAAAAAAAAAAAAAAAAAACTGAAAAACAATTCTGCTATGCAGAAAAATAAACTAAACAGCGTTTTGCGTCAGAATTGCTGATATAGCATAGTCTTTTATAATTTTCTATACTAATCATCATCATCTTCAGCATCATCATCATTAGTATGATTATCTCATAGTTTTACATAGAATTTCATCATCAGTATCATCATCATCATCATAATTGGCATGTTCTGTTCGGACACTCCGGGTAGACTGTGAGGACCCCGGCCTCAATCTTYTTWTTGGTAATGATATCAGCCTTGGGCACTGGGCCCGTAMWAAMAAAMAAAMAAAMAAAMAAAAMAAAMAAAMAAAAAAAAAAAAAAAAAAAAAAAAAGGGTCATATCAAAATTCTTTACCAAATTCAAAATAAAAAATATATTTTTTTTATTATTATTATTTTTTTTTTTTTTGGCCCAGTCGGGCAAGTGGTCCCGGGTCATTCTGTTAATATTTTTTAAATATTGCTTTTTTGAAAGTTTGGCAGCAAAAATGACTTCGGTTTGGAGTTTCCTTTGCAAAAATAGATGTTTCGTGGCAGCTTTACCGGGCGCCCATAGTTTCCGAGCAAAAATATACTATTTTTACTATTTTTAAGTATTTTAACTATTTTATTTTTTTTGCTGTCGATTTTTATTTAATTATTTTTTTGTCCATATAACCGATTCCCGGCATCCCTTACATCATTTGCTGCGGCCAAACGGGCTAAGCGATGCACTCTACGATTTCGCCTCGTTTCACAGCGAAAACCCCCTCCGCCTCTGGTGAATATTGACACTCATCAAAACTGATGGTGAGCATTGACACACATCAACAAGCAAACACCTAAAACAGTGTTTGATTCAATTTTACCCGAAAGTCGGTCCACAGGGTGTCAGGGAACTTTTTTTTTTTTTTTTTTTTTGGGTCCAGGACCTAGCAGCTCAACGTGACCAAGAGCTTATAGCCACATCCGCATCGGATTCCAGATACGGAGAGAAAGCATCCAATCACAAGACATGACATCAGCGAGCTTAAGATGATGAAGAAGATAGAGAGAGAGATGAACGAAGAGGGATGAGGAAAGATTAGAAATAAGAAGAATAGGCAGAAAAGACAGCAACGCGCTTCAGAGCCTTTCTCCAGAACGTGACTTGGCAGGCTTTAAACCAGGACGAATAACATAGTGTGTAGAGCTTGCACCGAAAATAGGCGTCATGCCCGTATCGTCAACTTCTATGTCAAGCTAGTTGGCGGATGACCCGACATGTTTCGTCCGGTCGCCGAAACCGGAACTCCTCAGGGGTCTTCGCCACAATTGAGGGGCTATTGACAGCGTCAACGGAATCTTTCTTTTAAAGCATAGCGACCGGAAAGATCGGCCGAAGACCTCGGAAAGGACGAAAAAACGTCCCAGAAGTACCGGAACGTCCCAGAAGTACCGGAAAGCCCATATGCCCAACTGCGGGCCCAAACCTGCCAATTGTCAAACACTCAAAGTCCCCAGAAGGGCCAGAAGGTTCTAGGCCACAAAGAATAAAGAAAGCAGAGATCGAACCTCAGACCTATAACAAGTAGTACCACATCAAGTCTGAGATGCCCACAGTTCAGTCTTTTGAAACCCGGATCGAACCCCCCAAGACCTATAGAAAACCAACGAGGTTAAGACTGCATCAAATCAGAGAGGCTCACAGCTCAAACCTCAGCAACCCAAAGGATAAAGAAGGCAGAGTTTCGAACCCCAGACCTATAGAAAGCCAAAAGGATTGAGACCTCATGACATGTGAGAGGGCCACAGTTCAAACCCTCAGATATTCAATACAATTGCCCCCTACTTATCCAAGCGCCCCATGCGCCCCCTGCCTACTCAAATGCCCCTCGCCTATCCCGATACACCCTACATACTAGAACTACGTGACCCATGAACCCTCAACACCTTTGGGAAATGTTTCTCCCATCCTGTAAGGCACCGAACCCAGTCATCCCAAAGTCCACCAAACTTCAGAGAGAAATTCCTCAAACTTTCATCAAAAATATCATAAAGGAAACCCCTCAGTCGCAGCTCCACTTTCAAAGAAAGTAAGAAAGCAGCTTCTGCCGCGGGCAAGCTCATAAATCGCTTGGCCCTATGCAGAAAGGAGCTCAGCCTGACGATTGCCATCTTCTGCCGCTTCCCAACATATGAACAGTTATCCTGGAGATTTTGAAAGACCACCTCCGGATCAAAAATCATCTAAGACTTCTCATTTTTGCGCACAGCACCACATTTGACCCCAATCGGCCAGTCAAACGCTCTTACCACGCACCCAAGGAAATCCCAGAAATCGGAGAAAGCAGTACGTTCTAGCACGAGATTGCGATCATAACAACCATCGCATCATAACAACCCTCGCATTTACTCGAGATGGACCTTCAAGTAAATTCGAGGGTTGTTCTAGCATTTTCCGGATCAAGGAGCATCCCCCTCACCCTACTCGATAAAGATGGAGACATGGTACATCGTCGATCAAGCGTATCCCATGGACCTCTGGCCTCAGGTACTCAGGGACTCAGGCCTCAGGTACTCAGGTACTCAGGGACTCAGGGACTAAGGGACTCAGGGACTCAGGCCTGAGGCCAGAGACCCACCATCAGGCCGGTAATGGTACAGTCCTGGAACAAAACGTTGTCCTGGTCCGAAACCAGTACCTCGCATTTTTCATTTTTCGGATTTGTTTTTTCATTTCCACGCACGTTGGGAAATTCCAACACGCGTGGGAAGTTCCCTAGGTGAGCATGTGGCATGCAGGGCGGTGGGCACTATGAAGACTGCTTTTGAGAGAGAGAGAGAGAGAGAGAGAGAGAGAGAGAGAGAGAGAGAGAGAGAGAGAGAGAGAGGTTCGGGCTGGCACGTGGCGGTGTGTAAAAAAAAAAACAAAATGGAAGGTTCTTTAGTCTTATTCTTCCTGGAGAGAGAGAGAGAGAGAGAGAGAGAGAGAAGGGGAGTGAGGGGGACAGGTTGGCTTTGACAACGCGGCAGTACCACATGGCAGCCCTGACCTCTCTCTCTCTCTCTCTCTCTCTCTCTCTCTCTCTCTCTCTCACACACACACACACACACACACACACACACACACACACACACAAATGTGCGTAGGGGATTGTGCGCGTCACTCAAAACTTGTGCGCATGCGGATCTTTCGGTCCAGATTGCAAAGTTGCACACCCGCCTGACAGGGGCATAACACAAATTTCGGCCCAACAGGGCATTCCGCTCTACTCACATCTTTCAGGGGCATTTTGGCACATATCTCAACTTATGGGGGTATTTTGCAAATTATCCCAAAAAAAAAAAGGGGTACGTAGGCCCATCTGTGCATGTTGCAGACCCGCACACGGCCCACCAGCTTATTGCGACTCTTATGAAACCGGGAAGGTATGTCTTCCCGTAAAACCTACCCCCACTTCCTCCCCCCTCTTTCCCCCCCCCCCCCCCAACAAAAAAAAAACAAAAGGAAGAGAACCCTACCAACGGGCGTATACCTCAGGGCCTACTCACATTAGCACTATCTTAAATGTGTCGGACCGCATTTTCGACCGAGCCTGTATGCATTTGGCCGCAATTCCGTCCAGAATAAGTGAAAAAGAAAGTGCTAGTGTGAGTATGCCCTCAGTTGCCACGTCGCAATGAACTGACTGTTGATTTACAGGCCCAAGTTCGAATCCAGATGCAATCAAAGATGAGCAAATAAACTAATTTATTCAGTATTACCCAGGGGGGGGGTTCAGTTTGATGATGACATATTTGTTTGTTTTTT